ACCAGGCTGTGTTGCAGAACTTAGGGGTGGATCCAGCCTCTGCTTGTCCATCCTCACCCACACTTCACAGGGGCCAGGATGTTCTTAGTTGTCAGTTGAAGGACTGGGAGGCCCCACTTGGAGAAAGCTTCCATGTTAAGAAAACTATGCTTTAAAGGAAGACGTGGTTATATACTTACTCCCAAAGTTTAAAAATTGTTCCATTTACCTGAAAGTTTCCATAAACATAAAATGGGACATATCTGCTTTTAATTTCCCTGTGATTTTTATTTCATAGGGAAAGGGCTACCCTTTGACGGAACACCTTTTGTCTTTTCTTAGGTGTTTGGCCACTGGCTTTGTGTGTGGAGAGGGTGTGCAAGCTCTTAATGAGGGATTTCTGGTCAGTTTCTCTAAGGAACAATCTGGTTGGTTTTTGTTTTTGTTTTTTTTTTCAAGCTAACATTCCCTGAGCCTTCAGGTAACTCATGCAGTCCTTACAGCAGTCCTCTGGGGTAGATGAGACTCATATTCCCCCTTTACAGACAAGGCAGTGCAGGCCACAGAGGAGTCCTGTGAGGCCCCGGAGGCGGGTGGGCCCCGGAGTCGTGCCCTTCACCTCCACTCCTTTAATACTGGATGGTGTCTGCCCCCCTCATGCTAAAGCTGCTGGTTTGGATTTATTGCAGCCAGGTGGTGTATACACAGGTAAATGTATCTGTGGTAGAAATTTTGGTCATCAGACAATTGGATGACAAGTTCTAAAAAGGAATTTTGTACATCAGGACTTGGAGCAAAGCTTTGGGGAAAATCACCTTCATATGTCACCCTCCTTCCTTATTCTCTGCTCTCAGGGCCCAGCAACCTTAATTCCTCAGAGCCCCTTGGTCTGTTTGTCAAGGGTGGGGCTCCAGTAGCACCTCCACCATCGTGACAATAAAATGTGTCTCCAGATGTTGCCCAGTGTCCCCTGGGGAAGGGAGGGTACAGTTACCCCAGTTGAGAACTCTTGCCTCGGATAATGTGTAATAAATGCTTGCTGAAGAGCCAGGGTGAGTGTTGGAGGTTTTTCCCATCTCGCCAAGCATTGTTGATGGCCACAATAGTGACATGGGTGGCAGTCCTGTCCCCGGACACCCTTCCTGACGCGCCACTGGGCATCTGAGAGCACACGGAGGCCCCTCTGCCCTGAGTTCTTATCTTTCCTGGAAGGTTGTGAACAGAAACTGAGCTCTTTGTCCTCAGGAACAGACACATCTTTGAGATAAACCACCTTAATTACAGAAGCAGCATATGGGACATCCTCAGCTTTGTAGAAATTTTTTTGCCAGATGACATTTTCCATGCTGACTTCCTTTTGGTAGGAAATAAGCAGCTTGACCTTCGGCGGCAGTCTGGTTTTGGACTAAGAATGTTGGTGTGACTCTCTTATCTTTGACTCCTTTCCCTTTCTCTCCAGAAAGGACCTAAGTGTGAAATACCCCGAAGACCTTCCCATCACCCTTCCAAATCTGCTGAGGTTCATTTTGCATCACTCAGACCCTGCTTCTGCCCCCCAGAACTTGGTTAACCCTCCTACCAAAGAGTGTCTTCAGAGAGAGGCCGTCCTGCAGCAGGGGCACATCTCCCATCTGGAGAGAGAGATCCAGAAGCTGAGGGCGGAGATCAGTGCCCTGCAGCAGGCGCAGGGGCAGGTGGAGGCCCGGCTCTCAAGCGCGCGTAGGGACGAGCGGCAGCTGCGGCGGCAGCAGCACACGCTGGAGAGGCAGCACAGCCTGCTCCAGCTGCACAGCGAGCAGCTGCAGGCCCTGTATGAGCAGAAAACCCGGGAGCTTGAGGAGGTGGCCCGCAAGCTCCAGGAGCTGGCCGATGCCTCGGAGAACCTCCTCACCGAGAACACGTGGCTCAAGATCCTGGTGGCCACCATGGAGCAGAAATTGGAGGGCAGGGACGGGGCCAAAGACCGTGCTCCCCTGGACGAGGTGCGATCGGACTACCACAAGCCCTCGGGCGCCCCCCGGCTACCAGCCAGTACCCCTCCGCCTTCCAACGTCAGCTCCACGCTGGCCTCGGAAAGGAGCGCTGAGAACAGGACAGACTAACTTTGAAAATGACATGAAGAAATCAGAGGTGAAGACTGTACATTGCGAATATATTTATGCAAATTTTATTGAAATTTATTGTAAATAAAGATTTTCTCAGTGGTCTAGAAAATCAGCTTGAATGTCATTCAGCTTTTATTGAACAGGGATGACATCCCCTCCACTTATTGCACAAACTTGGTAGCTTTGAGACAAAAACAGTAGCACAGTCCACTTGAAGATTTGTCTGAAAAGTTAGTCCATATTTTAGCGGCTCAGTGTCGGCGTTCCCTCCCCATCCCCCTGCTGTTGCTTCTGCGATGACATGCAGAATGAAAGGCTAATGTCCTGACTGACTAGTCAGAAAACTTGGACACAACAGTTGGGCTATTCAGAAAGAATTCAATGAGAGGTCATAACTTAACTAAGCCATTTGAGTGTGTGGCTCTGGTGTCTATGCTAAAAAAAAGTAGCTGTTGACCAAGAACAGTGAGAGCTGTTATGTGGTTGGTCACCAGTTCTGCAGGCACTTCCACTTGCCTCCAGAGACTCCACTAGTGCCCCACCATGCCTGTGACCCTCACCCGGCACTGACACCGTGCTGATGGGTCTGATGCAAATGGCACAGATGACGTGGGATAAGGAACCTCCAGGACTGAAACTGAGGAGAAAGTGATGCCTCATCTTTTCAAAACCGAAACTGCACTGGCCACGGTAAGAAGCTCAGGGCGAGTTTGACAGTCAAGCAAGGGTCATTTTCAGGGTCAGGCTCAGGGACTGAAAATGCAAGTCCCGGGAGCTCCTCGGTTACTTGGGTAAAGGACAGACAGCCTTAGGTGCAGGCTGCTGGCTGGCTGCAGAAAGTAGAGGTAGAAAGCCTGAAGTTCTGAAATGTGAGGGGAATGGATCGAACACCCCTACACCTGCCCCATTTTTCTTATGTCCTTCATTAGGTAACACACCTTCTCCCTGACCTTCCAGTTGACCCCTTTAGAACTTCTGACCCCTCCTCCCGCCCACACCCTGTGTGCTGCTTACAGGGCCTTCTGCTGGTCTCCAGCCTGACTCATGCTTGGCCATCCCCAGGTGGGGGCCAGAGGCATTTCCCTCCCCTGTACTAAAGCCCGGCTGCCTTCTAAGGATTCCTTAGTAGCCCACCTGTGCTGTGTCAATCCTGCCTTCAGCTCAAATGGCCTAACTAGCTACTCCTCCCCTCCCCCCAAGCTATACACCATAATGTTTGACCGTTAATTTAGGGGTACTCCGCTAAAAGAAGTGTTCCTTAAGCTCCCTACTAGGGGTTCTAGAAAGTTGATTAGTTCAACATGCTTTTTAGATGAGATCTGGATGAGGCCAGAGGAGCCGCCTTCTGCCCGACCAGGAGGCCAGAGCTTTGAGGGGGAGCTGGGAATAGGGGGCAGCCCTTGGCCACCTGGGAGCTCCCTGCCCATGCTGCTGGCAAGGCAGCTCAAGTGCCGAGGGCCAGCGCTCCCCAGCTCACCCAGAGCTGGCCTCCAGTTTATTCCCGAGGATGCAGACACAAATCACATTTTAATCATGATAGTTTAGGGTGTGCTTACAGTGGTGGGATTAAAAACCTAAGCAAGTTCACTGAAGTATACACAAGGGACATCTTGGAGGGGCAGGGTGGGAATCACTGGCCTGACCAAGAGCCACCAAACTCCTCACCTTTTCGAAAACCAAATCCTGAACCTGAAACTCCCTCTTCCCCCAGCCCCCTCCCCTGGGCGCCCACTAAGCACAGGCTGCTGGGGGCTCCTGTGTGCAGAGGCACACAAGAAGTGACACTTGGCGCTCTCAGAGTAAGGTCAGGGGACCCTCCTTCTAGGTGGCCCATTGAGGAAAATGAAATCCAGGACCTAGCAGGTGGGTGGGAATCTGGGAGGAAAGGAAGTGAATTTGTGAAAAGGGCAGGGGGAAGAAACCAAGCACCCCCCACCACCCCCTCCAGTGCAGAAAATATTAAATACAACAACAAACATAAACCACAATGTTCTCTCCTTCCTGGGCCAACTGGGTTTGGGATACAGGTAGCCACCGCGGCTCTGGTGTTTCTAGCAAAGCCTGTGCTCAGTAAAGCTGGGTGGGGGGCAGGGTGCTCAGCATGCTCAAGACCATGGGGGCCAGAAACTGCTCTGCCACTAGGACGCCTGGCAGCCTTGGGACTCGGGCCTCGTGCCCTGACTCGTCCTTCACCGGCTCCCAAGCAGCTGCAGTAGCTTCCTTGCAATCACTCCACTAGCAACAGGAACTGGCATTTAACAACCTCATCTACCTAGAGCAGGAGGGGGCGGGACGTGCTGCTGCTCCCATTCATTGCTCACGAAGCAGAAATCGCCAAAGCACCCCAACAGGTCAGCTGCGAGACTTAAAGCCGACGTGTCACGTTCTCTACATACACATGTATCTGAAGCCCCTGCCAAGTGCAATGTGGGCCTTAGAAGTCTAAGACCACCCCCCCTCCCGCCTTGACTCAGCTCAGCGTTAGTACGGACAGTCCCATGTGCTCTATATTTTTAAAAAATCAGCAAGAGAGGCTTAAGCACGTGCTTCTGGGGCCTATTTACAGTTCACAGGCTCGTGAGTTCACGCGTTACAGTAGTAGCTCCATCAAAAACAGGCTCAGCTAAACATTCAAGTAACAAAAGCGCTGTGGGGCCGTGAGCCCCAGCAAGGTCAGGCCTGCCCACTGCCTGCAATGGGCAGTCCTACCAGGAGGCTGAGGGGTTGCCCAGTGCCACTGAGCCCTGGCTCAGGACCGCCGGGACCCCAGGAGTCAGTGCATGCGATGACGAAGTCCGGCGAGGCCATGCCAGCAAGCGTCAACCCTTACTCTCAGATGGCAGCACGTCTGTGGTTTCGCCCCTACTGCGCCTCTTGGCTGGCAGCAGACAGGCCCAGGAGCCTCCGCATCCCGGCTCAGCCGTGGACTTCAGGGCCATTGGGGGTCAGCTTGGCCTTCCTCTCCACGCACGGTCCCTTGGCCGAGTACTGCACCAGCAGGAAGGGCTCCTTGGTCTCGCCATCCCCCACGATGCTCTCCTCGTCCTCTGACTGGCTGATGCGCTGCAGCCGCAGGTAACACCAGCAGCCCAGGATCAAGGCCCCCAGGGCAGCGATGGCAATGAGGATGACGATAACCGTGACCACACCGGTCGTGGGGCTGTGGTCCATGATGGACATGGTTAGCACTTGAGTGGGAGGCGCCCCCCTGCAGGAAGGTCTTGGTGGGGATGGCTCAGTGAGGCTGGAACCCAGGCTGGACACGAGAGCCCTGAAAGAAAGAGCAAGATGAGGCTACACTAGGGACTCCGCTGGGGACCCTGACAGCTCACATGCTCGGGCTTGCTCTTCCATGGGGTCTATTTTTAATCAGTTCTTAAGCCTGACCGTCCTGCCCTCATCCTAGTGAGAAACAGGCTGGTTGGCATTTGCTGGGTGTTCTTGTTCATGATGCCACCAGCGTTCTCCTCACTCAACCCAGCCACTTCCATTTAATACCTTCAGTGCCTCTGCTACCGGACAGGCAGTCATCCTCGCTCAGCCACGAACCTGACAGGCAGGAGAGGGGGCACCCGAGACCTCCATCACCACTGCAGCAGAGGCTGAAAGAGGGTCTCTTTAAGGTGAATGTTCTAGAAGTCCAGCACCACTAAGTGTTCAGTAACTGCTCACAGATTGAAAGTGCTTCAAGGACTTCCCTGGTGGCGCAGTGGTTAAGAATCCGCCTCGCCAATGCGGGGACATGGGTTCGAGCCCTGGTCCGGGAAGATCCCACGTGCCACGGAGCAACTAAGCCTGTGCACCGCAACTACTGAGCCTGCGCTCTAGAGCCCGCGAGCCACAACTACTGAAGCCCATGCACCTACAGCCCATGCTCCGCAACAAGAGAAGCCAGCGCGATGAGAAGCCCACGCACCGCACCAAAGAGTAGCCCCCACTCGCCACAACTAGCGAAAGCCTGTGCGCAGCAACGAAGACCCAATGCAGCCAAAAATAAATAAATTAAAATAATAATTATTATAATAAAGTGCTTCAAGACGGCCAGAGATGAGGGATTCAAAAGCAGGGAAATGACATAAGCCCCTCTCGTGAACGGGACATACATAGCTCAACGAGTCTTCAGGAGCACCTGTGAGAGAGTGCAGCTGACAACAGCCTTTGCCCACAAAGAAGCCGTAGCTGACCTAGCTCTGGAAAAACTTAGAGGAGGGCAGGGGAGAGCGGGACAGACCAGCCTCTGTCGGCGTCTTGGTGCAGGAGCCAGACCGCAAACGGATCAATATGCCAAACACCTGTCACTACAAATGCAGGAATGTAATGCTGGGAACATAGGGGACCAGATGCCTCGATGCTAAACTGGGCGGGGCAGGCAAAACTCAGGGAGGTGATGCTGATGCCGAGATGTGCGGGAAAGCCAGACCCTGAAGAGCTTCCCGGCGGGGGAACACTGTCTGCTAAGGCTCTGAAGGCAGGAGGGCCCGCTGGAAAGTGGGAGGAGTGGCTGCAGCTGGAGATCAGCTGGTTTGGGTGGCAGCGGGGAGGGGTGTACATGCCCCAAGGCCCAGACAGCAACAACCCACTGAGGTTGGAGGTGGTGGCTCCCCTGGGTCCCAAGACCTTGCACTTTTAAAATTTCTCCTGTCTGACCGTAAACGGAGCAAATAATAGTAACTAACACCCAGGTGGTTACGAGGATGCCTGCAATGCCTGGGCACAGGGTGGGCAGAGTCGATGCTCAGCTGTCTGAATCTGGTTTTTCTGGAGAAGACAGACATCAGTGCAGGTAGACATCATTGGAAGCGGAAGGTTTTCCCTCCAGACAGGATGGAACCTGCCCTCCTTGAGCAATGACAGCCTTAATTAGAAATGATTCTTATCCACACCAGGGAGCCCTCCACCCCCACCCCAAGGCCAGGTTCGCCTGAAGGTCAAAGGCAGCTAAGTCAACGCCCCTGAGTCTGACCAGGGACCGGGCCCTGAGAAAACCCTACAGGCCCCCAGAACTGCCCTGCTCCCACGCCCACCTGTGCAGAGGGGTCCTAGTCAGGAGGGAGCAACATCCCTGGAGTCTGCCCCCTTCTTACTGCCCCCAGGGTCAAGCCGCTGCCATCACTCTCAACAGGCTCCCTGGTCCACCTGTGGGGGCCATTGCAGCCAGTGCCCCTGTCACTCAGAGGAAAGACCCCAAGTCCCTACAAGTGACCTACAGGACCTGACGAAGCATCTCCACCCCTGCTCCTCTCCCGCTGACCCCACGCTCCTTCCTACCTGCAGAACTTTGCCCAGCCAGGTCCCTCTGCCCAAATGCTCTGCTCCCCTTACCCCTGTGCAGTGGTTCTCAAGTGGGGGCAACCGTGTCCCCCAGGGGACATGTGGCAATGTCTGGAGACGTTTTTGATTATAACAGCTGGTGTGTGTGTAGGTGCTACTGGTATCGAGTGGATGTAGACCAGGGATGCTGGTAAACCTCTCACATGGCATGGGACAGCTCCCCAAAGACCCCAGACAAATATCAACGTGTGGAGGCTGCCCTGGTTAAGTCCAGCTCAGGCGGGGAGCCTTCCTGACCCCGCGGTCCAGGAAGTCCTCTTCGTCCTGTGGCTGCCTCCCTCCTTCCCTCCCTCCAGGGCACCAGCCTCAACGTGCAACCCTGGCGTCTGTGTCAGGGCCATCGGGTTGGCACCTGCCTCCCCTGTTGGGCTGTGTGCTCCGTGAGTGGCCCTGCACACTTCTGTGCCCACCCAGTGCACAGGTCCTCCTGGCCTCTCCCCTGCCACCATCAGCTCCCACAACTCTGCTCAGCCTGTCCTCTTGGGTCTCCGCATGGAGCAGGTGATACCCCCAACCCCCAGAGAGCCTGCTGGCTGCAGCTGGGTGAACCTGGGTGAACCCAACCCCTGTGCCCTCGTCCCGCTCAGGAGCACACCTAGCTGCCTGTCCCTCCCCGCCTCACCCTCTCCACTGGCCCTTGTGCCCAGTGCCTGCTGGGGTGCCTGCCCTCCCCCTGGGTTCCTGGACAGGAAGGCAAGTCAGTATCAATTCAGAAGGGGAAGTGTGTGTGTTTGGGGAGCAGGGAGGTGGTTCAGGGACAGGAAGTGGGAAATCAAACAATGGCAGCAAGACCTGGGGAGGGGGGACCCCAGGGGCCAAACCAGCTGAGGAGCCCAGGAAGTGCCTCTGAGTCCTGGGGGTGGGGGACAAGCGATCTTGGGACCAACGACCAACCACCGACCAGCAAACTGAGGCAGAGGTAGCCCCAGCTCCAAGGACCCTCTGAGAGGAGTGGTGACCTCAAAACCCTGTCTGCTGCCCCCGCCCCAGGTCAGGAGGAGAGGGCAGAGCCAGGTCCAGGCCACAGTCATGCCCTGCCTGCGGTCCCTGGCCCTCCCTTGAATGTGTTTGTTCCTTCACTCAGCAAGTATTTCCTGAGAAGCTATCTTTTTAAAAAGTCTGATTGTGACTGCTCAGAACCTCCCTGGTACCAGCAGAGAATCCAAATTCTCTACTTGCCCAGCTTCTTCACACCCTTCTGCCTCCCACTCAAGGCCTCTGCACTTTCTGTTCCTTCTGCCTGGAGTGTTCTTCCCCGAGTGTCCCGTGACTGGTTCCTTCCCATCAGATGGGACTTTCTCAGAAGGTGCCTCTTGGGGGCTGCCTTCCCAGATCACCCAGGCTCCAGACGCAGCCCCACCCCCACTGGCCATCGCCTCGCACTATTTCCTCTTATTTCCGGGCGCTCTGCCACCTGAAACTCTCTTGGGTCAGGGAAGGTGTTTCCCTGGCTGCCGTCTCCTTCCCGCAGTGGACTCTGCGCCTGTAGGAGAGCACTGTCCATCTTGCCCACTGCTGGATCCCCAGCCCTATTACCAGCACACAGCAGGTGCTCAATAAATGTCTGCTGACCGACCACTCCAAGCCCGGGGAGGCAGTAATCAGAGGAGACCTTGCTTGCATGGGGATCACGGTCAGCAGCCGCCACCACCCCTGAATGCCCCCGAATCTTGAAGCCACCACGGGTCCCCTCAAGGGAGCTGGCAGCCTGCGTGGAAGGACAGGCTGCAGGCTGAGCGTGGGAGCAGGAGCCACGTGTGCAAGTGGGTCCCAGGCAGGCCTGGCCCAAGCCCACGGAGGGGCAGCTGTCCCTGCACGAGCTGTGGGGAGGGGAGGGGAGGGGAGGGAAGATGCCACTGATACACAGATCCCAGAGGAACCTGAAGCATGAGGGCGGCCAGCCAGTTCCCTCTGAACCCTCTAGGCTGGGGCTGGACCCCACCCCTTGCTTCATCTCTTCAGGGCCTCCCTCCTGCCCCTCCGAGCTAAGATGTCTCCTGCAAGTCAGCTGACCCCTCACCCTGATCCAGGAAAGCACACAGGGTAGGACGCGGAGGACCACAGCTTGGGCTGGGTAGACGCCCAGGATGGCACATGGGAAACCTGGACCCCCTTAGAACAATCACCAAAGCAGTTAACACTTATTCCATACCATCACCTACTCCTCCCAACAAGCCCGTGGCTAGTGCTGCTCACTGCTACCATCCAAGTTTCACAGGTGAGGAAACTAAGGCGTGGAGAGCTTGAATGGATAGTCCAAGAGTGAACTTGGACAGAATAAAGGAGGATGGGGCCCAGAAGTGGGGCCCAGCAGAATAAAGGGAGGGTCTTTTAAGTGCAGAGGGTCAGGCCAGCCTGGGAGCCAGAGCACAGCCGAGGACTGTAGTCTCCAGGCACTCTAGGGGTGGGCGACGGGCCATGCTCCCCCAACCTCTGTAGCATCTCCTTGCCAGCTCCCTCAGTCAGGACGAAAGCTGGCACTGGAAGCCCTAGGCCATCTGGATCCCCCAAACACACAGTGCCAATCTTCCACCCTCCTTCCACCCTCCCGCTCCCACCTCCCTCAGATGGATCTCAACAAGCTCTAAAGCCCAGCATCTGCCGACACCACCCCTCTGACCTCTCCCCCTGCCCCACCCCCAACCACCGATGGGTTCAAAGGACAGACCCTGCATTGGCCACCAGCAAGCTGAGTGGCCACCAGCAAGCTGAGCGCAGGTGTCCCCCACTGTCCTGCTGCCCTCGGAGGCCCACGACTTAGGTCTTCCCCAATGTTGGGTTGGGTTCTAGTTACCCCTGCCTCTTCAGGGGACCCCAAAATGAAACCTTAACCCCACTCCACAGGTCCC